GGATAAATGCGTGCCAGTTTAGATGAGATAAATTTTTAGATGTACCTGGTTAATCCAAACAGTGCTCTTGTAGGAGAGTTCTCTGTTCAGCAGGTCTGATGGCTGTAGTCTGTGCAGTGATGGGCCCACCAGACACTGTTGACGCCTAGAACTGTGGATGACTCTTCTCTGTATCCCTTTTGGACTGTGTGCACATAGGCAGGTAGCTCATGGCATTTTAAATGGCAGTGATTCCTGGAGGCTAGAGGGGTATATTCACACTGGGAACTGCAATTTCCAGACATCTTTTTATTGACTCTTAAGTTGATCTTTTTGGGTAGAATGGTCCCATGGGGTTCCCAAGGCTACGATCTTACAGAAGCAGACGACCACATCTTTCTTCAGTGGCTGGTGGGTTTGAACCACTGACCTTTCAGTTTGCAGCTGAGTACTGAACCGCTGTACCATCAGGGATCCATTTTTCATGTGGTGTTTTATATTTCATATACATGCTTGTTGAGGACAGAAATTCACACAGTGCACAAGTATATAAAGTCAGGGTTACCCTTAGGCCTTGGGGATAGCTTTTGGAGGATCCTGTCCTTGATCCAAATTAAAATAAAAATTAATTTCTCTTTTGTAGGGTTCCCCACCCCCCCCATTCTCATTTTGGTTTGAACACTTTTCCGTGTGGAATGGATTTTCCCTTCGTGTTCCTAGTACCCTTTATTAAATGAATCCATACTTCCCTTACTGTTTTTAACTGCCCCTCTCATAAATCTTGTACTCTGTGGTAAAGCCCATATTATGATTCTTTATGAATGAGTGTGTTTGTCTGAGATTTACAAGCTTTTGTTTTACTGCTTATCTCTCAGCCTTTGATAGTAAAGGCAAGTAGCAATCTCCCCCCCCTCCCCCCCCCACACACACAACCTTTTTTTAAATGGTCTTTGACTTCAGTTATTCCCTGAGGTTATACTAAAATCTTTCTTAAACTGACTATGTGTGGGTCGTTATCTTTTGATGTGTGAAATGTCAAAATATTGACTGAACTGGAACTCCCCAGGTCAGTTTGGAACCAATGCCAAATTATGAGCATCGACATTATCCTTGGAATGGCCTGCAGTAAATACATGGATGAATCTAGGGCGCTCTGATCTGCCATCCTCCACAATTCTCCTGTCTCTCTCAAGTGACAGCCTTTTTCTTTTAAATGGTATTTTTTTCTGTTTTCAGAAGAGGTTTGCGTAAACAGCAGTGTATGTTCCCATTTAATAATTTTCACACAAATGGTTCAGTGACATCAGTCGTATTCTTCATGATGCATGGGCATTCTCCGCATATCTATTCTGGTTGTTCCATTTTCATTCATCTAGTTTCCCTGTCTCCTTACATTGTCATATTTGCTTTAAAGTAATTGTTGACCTTTAGTTTTCATGTCAATGGTTTTTTAAAAAAAAATTTTGAGGGCGCGTTGGACTCCAGTCTTATTTATTTCAGTACCACTTAAAATTTTTTTCATTCAATTGTTTTCTTTTATTAAATTTCTTTTTCTTTTAGTGTTGGAGCCCTTTTCCAAATATGTTTCTCAATTCTTACTGTTGATACATATTTAGGGAATCTGTTATATGAGTAATGTATATAAATAATTTCCTCCCTGAATAATAATGTTTATTTGCAGTGTCTGAGTCAAAGATGTTACGTGAGAAAGTTCGTTTCTTCTCTCTCTGTCTGTGCCTCTGGTTTTGGCTTTTGTGTTACTGTATCCGGCTAGACCTCTTTAGACCAATGCTCAGTAACTGCCGTGTGAATCTTCTGTGTCTGCGTTCATAGCTTCATTTGGTCTGCAGTTTCTTAGGGTTCCCTTTCTTTGAGATTTCTGAGTAATTCTCCTTCTTACCTCTGGCTCGGTTTATGTGGCTTTGGGCCCAGCACAGTAGGAGCCCTTGTCTGTTTGGGGATCAGGTGTCTGACACTCTTTCTGCACTTCTTCTGTGTTTGTTAATCCACGTGTCTGTCTGTCTGACCTCTGCAGGTCTGCTCCTGAAGTCTCAGAAAGTGAGTGGGTACGTTTTGGTCTGAAGTTGCAGAAAGAATTCTGTTCCTAAATAGGCAATGGTCTCCTCCGTGCAGGTGGGCACTGGTGTTTACCTGCCCTTTGAGGTGGCAGCTCCTCCCCACCAGGCCTCCAGTCCGAGGTGCCACGCCAGTCCTCTGGACTGCTTAGAAATGTGTCCTCCTGAGGAGCAGAGACATTAGGTCACTGAGGACCGTTTGCACAGGGAGGAGAGTGGAAGTCTGTCTTAGGGAAGAAAGTGAGGAATTGTGTTTCCTATATATTATGTCCAAATGACAGAGCCTAGTTGGTGACTTCTGGAATGATTGAAGCATCTCTTTTCTGTTCAGATAGTTTAGAAGCTTCATTTTCAACTAATGAGCCTTGGGGGTACAGTGGTTAAGAGCGTGGCTGCACACTGGAAGGTCAGAAGTTCGAACCCACCTGGTGGCAGTGGCTCGGCGCCCAAAGGAAGAGCTGGTGATCTGCTCCTGTAAGGCTGCAGTGACCTCAGAAACCGAGGGGCCGATCCGCTCTGCTGCTTGAAGTCAGGGCGCCCAGGAAAACTGGACACTTCTGCTGATTGATCTTAAAGACAGGACTTTGGACGCATGTCAAGCCAGACGAGCAGAGCTGTTGGCTAAGTTAATGCACTCAGCAGAACCTAGTTTTTGTCTCACCTTGCCCTCGTTTTCCCGCCTCAGTTGGTTTACTCTGTTAATGATGGGAGAGCCCAAAACAGAAGGCGCGTGAGAGTGAAGCCTGCTGGGCAAGTGACTTTCTCAGGTGTTGGCTGCTCCGCCCCGCCCCCATGCTCCTAAGCACTGCCAGGCAGAGGGTGGGCAGGAGCCAGTGTGTGGGATGGAGAACTTTTTTAGGTCTCAGGTCTCATTTGAATGCTTTTCTTAAGTTTTAAGGGCTCTTTAAAAATAGAAACTTGTTTTAAAAGCATGTTATGGATGGCACCTAGATTAGACACTTTAAACCCCACCGTTAAGAGCTGTTTATTTGTAATGATCGTCTGCGGTCTGGAGTTTTAACCAACAGACCCGCACTCTGCCAGTGGTACAAGTAAGGCAGAAACCACTAAGGAGGGAATCGCTTTAGAAGGAAACCAATCCTTTTGAAACACAGCATTTCCTAATCACTTGAATGCCAAAGGAGAAATCATAATGGAAGTCAGAAAACAATTAGGGTGGACTCATAATAATAATGAAGCATGTAACAAATGTAAATGCAGCTGAAGTGTAGAGGGAACTGTACAAGAGGACTTCAGAAAGTTTGTGGGAGAATGGAACTAAAAGATAGTGGAGATTTCCCACAAACCTTATGAAGCACACGCTCATTGGTTATGTTAGAAGAGAAGAAAGATCGAAATGAACTTTTAAGCAATCTAGAAAGTTGGGAGGGGGAAAAAGGGAAAAAGATGATAAGAGAAATGAAGACAATGAAGGAAACGCGTGGACTCGACAGAGAGAAACAGTAGCGGCTCCTTGGAGCAGGGTGCGAGGTGCCAGGAAAGGCTGGACAGAGGCCTAGCTGTGTTTCCACGCGCTTAGCCATGCTTCACGTAGGACATGTAGACACCACATGTAGACACATGCGAAGGTCCCATGGACAGTTTCTTAACAGTTGCGGAGCCGTGCATGTGTGTGTGTGCGTGTGTCTGTGTGCGTGCCCCGACCTGTTCCTAGAGCCGTCTACACCTCTCATGGAGCGTGCCTGCGCTGTTCTCTGCCAGGGCCACACCTGTGTCTCCTTGCGATCTGCGGGTCCTTGGGTTCTGTCGCCCTCCTGTAGTGACACTTCCACTTAGCGCCATGCTGCACAACTCCAAAACAGTCTGCAGAGCTCCCAAGTCTTGGGCCTCGGGTCTCTGTGAGCCAGACGGTGCCCCTGACTCAGACCTCTCTCCTCAGACCTTCCGGAGTCTCTTCTGCGAGGAGTCTGTTGGGCCTCGGAAGACCTCTGCTTCGATTGGTTGCAGCCAGAGACACACCAAGGAGACTGTTGAGCTGCTGGCCTTGGAGCAGTACCTGCGCATTCAGCGGGAAAGAGTCAAGCCGTGGACGTGGGTGTGGGCGCCGGAGTGCTGAGAGAAGTTGCTCAGCCCACTGGAACATTACGAGATGTATGAGCCAAAAGGTGAGAGCCAGCCCGTGGTGAGGACCAGCTGGTGCACTGTCCTCTGCCTGTTCTGGAGAAGTGGGAACCTCCCCTTTGTGAAGCTGAGTGGTGGTCTGGGGATGAGCTAGGAGAGGCCCTCCGCCCGGCCCCTGAGCTGAGAAATGACAGGCTCGGCTGGTGTTGGCAGAGGGTGGCGAGGCATTGACTGGTGTCTGGTGTCCCCTCAGAGGACGACGAGGGCCATAGTGACGATGGCATGGAGTCCCCACCACCCCGCACCCGCTTGGTGCGCTCCTTCTGCAGTAAGTTGCCACATAGTGAGGTGATGTGGGATCAAAACACACTTGGACCCGGTGTTTGTGAACAATTGGCAAAATTGTTTAAGAAGGTGTTATGTTAGGTAAAGGGGCTTTGGTGACGGCTGTTCCCATCCCCCAGTCTTGCTTTTGGGGGAAGGTGTGCATTTTGTCCCTTTGCAGGAGAGGAATGCTCACATTCAGATTGGGTGGGTGAGCTGGGCTGTAGGTGGTCTGAAGTGCAGTCTCCATTATTGAGGACCTCAGGGAGCCCTGGTGAGAAGGCGTTGGGCAGCAGGACAGTGAGGCTGTGTGCTCATGGAAAGGCGGGAAGCCTCGGGGACAGCTCTACACTGCCAGTCAACTCCATAGATGGCAGAGGTGTCTGGAGAGGCCTTTGTAGCTGAACTTGAAGACCAGCCCCACTGAGCTCAAGAGGGGAGGCAGGATGATTCCCCTCCATGGGAGGGAGGCCCTGTGGGCGTAAGTGCACTGCTGACCACCATCTGGCATTGGTAGGTGACGAGGACTTGGGGGGCAGGAGTGGCGACATGGAGTCCCGAGACCACTGGCCATACACAAGGACAACACACCGGAACAGTAAGTCATCCGGGGAGCGTCAAGTCAGGGGCCCGGACAGGCTCGTTCAGAGTGTGATCCCCCACTTCAGCGATACGACCTTTTAGGGCCTCTACAATGGCAGCATAGGCCCTGGTCTCCTCCTGGGGGTGCATCAGGGCTTGACGTGGTAATGGTTGTCTTCCAGAGTGGGAGGCAGCAGGAGGGAGGGTAAGGCTTGGCATGTGGGAGCATGCCCAGTAGGCCCAAAGGGTGCTAGCTGGGGCAGCTCTGGGGCCACCTCCTTCATCTGCTTGTTCCCTCTCCAGGACTGCCTCCCCAAGACCTCCCCCTCCCCCTGATGGAGAAGACCACCTTTGAGATGGAGAGGGAAGACGATGACAGCGATGGGGAGTCAACGATGGACTTGGGCTCTGGCTCCCAGGTACAGCGGGCGCCCATGGGGACTGTCCTGGCAGGGAGCCCAGCCATCGCCCACAGGTGGCCCTTCACCAGCCCACAGTCAGGATCAGAGGGGCACCCTTCTCCCCTCTCTGCATTTGGGTCGCTGGGTAGGCTGGTTGGCCAGTGATGAGACTTGTCTGAGCCTCAGTCAGGAGCCAGAACACTGCCCACAGCCAGAACCCTGGAAAGCATTGATTTCTAACTTAGCAGGGCAGTGGTTCTAACACTTAGCTGGTAAGAGAATGGTGATCAGTTCAAGCCTGCCAGGCACTCACTGGGAGGAAGCGCTGGTCCATAAAGATCTAGTCTTAGAAACCCCATAGTGCAGCTCTGTCCTACCCAGGACGGTCACCGTGAGTCACAATGAACTAGATGGCAGTAGATTTATTTGTTGTGTGGTTTGTTTTAAATGGTCATTTGAAACCATCATTGGCCTCACAGGAGAAAAGACTGGGCAATCTGCTACTATAAAGTTTGCAGGTAGGAAGACCCTGTGGGACACTTTGACTCTGTCCCATGGGGTCTCTGTGGGTTGGAATCAACTGCCCCCAACAAACAGCAGCCTGGTGGTAACCGCAGAGTCAGACACAGGAAACCTCCCAGGTCAGTGAGCGGGGCCCGGGATGATGAAATGGTACTGTGTGAACGTAGGTCCAGGACAGCGTCCATCCACATTGGACGTGACTGTAACTCGTATGCCGTCAGCTACCATGGCTGATGGCAGCGCAAAGGGACCTGCTGACTTAGAGCTCCCGCTGGGCCTAGGTGAGCGTTGCCTCTCCTCACGGTGCTGTTTGTTTCCTAGGAGCAGCGCGGTTCTAGCAGCTTCAGTCTGCATCCGTTGTACTCACAGGCGACCACGGATGGCAGACCAGTCTGGAGAACGGCCGTCCCCCTCGGCGTGGGAGAACACAACTCTCCTGACCTTCACTCTCCCGAGTTTGTGGCCCAGGGTCGCTCAGCCCTTGGCCACCCTGAGTTGTTACCTCTGGGCAGCCCCTTTTTCCCCACCCCCCACTCTCCTTTCTTTGGTGAGCTGAGGCGGCACCGTCACAGGCGGGAACAAGACAGCCCTGCTCTCCCTGCACCCAGCGAAACCGACAGCAAAGCTGTAAGGGGGTCACCACAGCCACTTTGCAATGCCTCCTGCTGCTTTTGTAGTTTGCTTTCCGCTTCCCGGGGACTTCTCCTCCTAACCTAGGAAGGAAGAGCTGCGTTCTGAAGCCCGGCCTAGTTTCTGCGCCCTTTTGGTGTCTGTTCTGTTTCCTTGATCAATGTGCAGCTTTCTTCTTCAGCCTCAGTGCCCATGCTTTCTCCCTGGGAGGTTTGCCTATCATGGTGACACCGTGGTTAAGCGCTCCGCTGCTAACCCAAAGACCCACCCCCACTCTGCGGGAGAGAGGTGAAGCCATCTCGGGGGCCCTGTAGTCAGTACCGACTCGGTGGCAGTGAGTTTGGTGTTTGGTTTGATATCATGACCTTAGAGGGTCTTGGTAGCACAGTGTTTAAGCATTTTGTTGTTGTTGTGAAGTGCCGTCGAGTCAGTTCCAACCCATAGGGACCCTGTATAGGGTTTCTGAGGAGCAGCTGGTGAACTTGAACCACCAGCCTTGTAGTTCAAACCAATTTTGCAGTCCGGCGCATTAACCCGCAGCACCACACCAGCTCCTGCGGTTAAGCAGTTACTGCTGACACAAGATGAGCAGTTGGTAAGGCACCAGCTGCTCTGTGGGAGAAGGAGGGGGCAGATCCCAGCCTTGAAGCCTTTAGGGTCCTCCCACTCTATTCTGCAGGCTTGCTGTGAGTTAGAATGGATTCAGTGTAGTAGGGTTAGAGATCATGGCCTTGCCTCATCTACCAATATAATTGTCGTGAAATGAAAACAGCTTTGTTTTCTGAACATTCAAGCGACACCTCGGAACAAAAAGCCTCACCCACAGCAAGTCAGATGTTCAGACCCCCTTTGACAAATGCACCTGGTGGGCTCAGAGAGCACTTGTTCCCTTCCTTGGGCCCAGGCTGATGTCCCTCCACAACACCTCTCTCCCTCCCCAGGCTCGTCTCCAGGCCTGTGTTGCACTCTCTTCCTGGGGACCACGACTCATGGGACCAGAGATGCTTCTAGCAGCAGCTCTCTGACCACAAGGAGAGGTCCTAGCAGGGAGCCCACCAGGAGAGCCTCTGCAGAGGGGGGGCGGCTCTGGATTGGTCTTCAGGGAAGAGTGTGTTGAGACAGAGAAGGCAACTAAAGCCCATAGCTTCCTGAGCTGCCAGAGCCTTGGTGGATGAGGCATGATCCTAGGCTGTGAGGGGACGGGGAGGGGCAGGGGGAAACCATTCATCTGACAGATGTCTGCTTCCTGCTCATAGCTGCCCATTCCTGGGGTTATGTATCCAGACCTTACCCAGCACTCAAGGCCCCTCCCAGGGTCCCCACAAAGCCTTTCTTTCCCTGTTGGAGTCCACAGCCTTGGTGGCGCTTACTCTTGGCCTCTGCTTCATTGTGTCTTGCTGTTTAATCGGTTCCCAAGCCTCTTCTTTAGCCATGAGGGCAATGAGTGTGTGTGTGCCAGCGTGCTGTGGCTCCTCCTCTGAGGGTAGCACCGAGGCAGGTACCTCACTGAGGCAGGTACCTAGCAGGCTGCTAGGTGAACATGGCACTGTGAGCGCCTCTTCCTTTGTCACTGGGTGTGTGTCCTCCCCTGATGCCAGCTCTGCCCAGCTCTCTGGGCACTGGTGGGCATGGGCTCTGCTGAGCGGTCTGTGCTTGCTATTTCAGGATGCTGAGTCCTATCAGGATGTCGTGGACTTCACTGAAGACAGGAGGCCTCAGAACCCGATTCAGGACAATATGGAGAACTACAGGAAGCTGCTCTCCCTGGGTGAGCCAGCACTCCTCTTGGGCATGCTGAGCCCATTCCTGGCGTACTCTGAAGCTTTGTAGGGTGCTCTGAAGGTGACCTTGTGTGCAGAATACCATCAGCCCTAGCTTTCCCAGGCTACAGTCTTTACAGAGGATCCCTGGTGTGGCGCTGTCGGATAAGCACTGGACTGCTAACACACCAGCCATTCCTCCACAGCCCTTCCCAACAAGAGTCTTGGCAGAAGCTCTGGCTCATTGGTCAGCAGCGTCCTGCGTTCCTGTAGAGTGCTATAAAACAGGAAAGTAACCCCAGTGCTCTGGGACACAGTGGTGGGTGAAGCTTTACAGGGGACCTGCCCCATCTGTTTCCCTTGGAGCGGCTGAGAGCTGTGAACCATCAGGCTCCGTCAGGAGTCAGGATGCTGGGTCAATGCATTTGGGACTTCAGTGTCATAAGCCTTGGAGCGATTTCAGATGGGAGGAAATAGTGAAAGTGTGTTTCTAAGGAGTGACTCCTGCTTGGGGCGGGAAACACCATCCAGGGTAAGGCGAGAGGCAGAGGCAGAGGCTCCAGCAGTGGGAGCCGAGACCATGCCTGGGGTGCTGAGTGTTGGTGGTTAAGTGCTGTTGACTGGGGTCTGGCTCACAGCAGCCCTGACTCTAAGGAGCAACTGGTGAGTTGAAACCACCAATCGTATTGCCCAGTGCTTACCCTACAAGCCCACAGCAGGGTTCCCCAAGTGGTGACAGTGCAGGTTTAAAATACAAATTGGAATGGACCTGTTGCCTCAGACATAGACAGTGGGTTTGGCCTCTCCTTCAAGACATCTAAGAGAAGTTCTTACTAGGGAGTGGGGTGCGCAGGCCTAGTGCTTGCGGGGAGAAATCTGTGGTGAGGCTGCCAGGTCAGACTCTGGAGCCCCGAGGACTCTGAGTTTGTAGAATGAGGAGACAAACGGAAGAGCGAAACCAAGAAGGTCAGTGGACAAGAGAACATCATGATTTTAGGTGGTCACAGGAGGGATGCAGGGAGGTCTTGCTACCCATTTCCAGGTGGGGTTAGGAGTTATTAGGTGCTATTGAGCCGGTTCTGAGTCAGCGACCTGTATAGGGTTTCTGAGGCTATACATCTTTGTGGGAGCAGGAAGTCTCATCTTTCTCCCTTGTAGCAGGTGGTGAGTTCCAGCTGCTGACTTTGTGGTTGGTAATCCAGTGCTTACCTTTACAGAGCCACCTCACTCCCAGGGTGTCAGTATTAAAGTTCAGGTTCGAGCGAGTTCAGGAATAATAAAAGGAAACGAGGCAGCAAATGTAAGATGTGTAGTGCTTCAGGATCAGCACTGGACTGCGAACCTCAAGGGCAGCAGTTCAAATCCACCAGCTATTCCTTGGAAACTCTATTCAGCCTCACAGTGAGTTGAAACCCACTCAAAGGCACCTGACACCAGCAAAGAATTGGCTATGGACTGCCTAAGCTAAGAGCGTCAGAAGAAAGCATGGCCCTCAGCCCCCTCCCTCTAACGTGAGCCATCTTCCCTCATGTGCAGGGGTCCAGCTGGCAGAGGACGACGGACACTCCCACTTGACCCAGGGCCAGACATCAAGGTCCAGGAGAAGCCCTTACCCAAGCACCAGTCGAGGTGAGGGCTGGGAAGATGGACACAATGGTTGCAGTGAGGCGTGGTGACAGACCCTCACAGTAGGATACGTCCTGCAAGCTCCGTGCAGTGGGCATCCGAGAAGTCTTCACATGTGGACTTTCCTTTCAGGTCTGAAACCCATGCCTGAAGCCAGGACATCAAGCTACCGGCGGGGGATATGTGAGGACGAATCCTCCCACGGGGTGTTCATGGAGAAGTTCATCAAGGCCGTCTCCCGCAGCGCCAAGTCGGGAAGAGCTCGGGAACCTAACGACTGGCCCCCCAGGGTCCCCAGGGTCCCCAGGATGCCTGACGATGACTGGAGAGAGGTCTCCTTCAGCAAGAGGGAACCGGTAATTCAGGAGTGGGGCTGTGAGGGGTGTGTGTTTGCGGGGGGCCTCAGCTCTAATTCCAGCCTGGTGTCTAGAAAGCGAATTCGTGAAAGAAAAAGGCGCTGTCAGCTGGACGTGGACGGGAAGGGCTTGGTTCGCGGTCAGAAAGGCTATGGGAAAAAGAAAGCCTTTGAATGTAGCCAGGCCAGGAAAGGTGAGCACCTGGGCAGCCTCAGCTTGCTGTCCCTCACCGAGTCGCCGCTGGCTGACTTGGGGCCCATGCCTTATGTGTGTGATGAGTGCGGGCGGCTTTTCAGTGTGGTTTCTGAGTTTGTCGAGCACCAGATCATGCACACGAGGGAGGAGCTCTATGAGTATGGCAAGTTATTCTTCCATAGCGTGCCTCTTAGCAAGTTTCTGAAAAGTCAGGCCCAAGGGAAGCGCTCTGAAGGTCAGGAGTACGGGAAGGCCTTTCCTAGGAGTGCTGCCTTTACTGAGCACCAGAAAATCCATGGGAGAGAGTGTCTCCCAGCAAGTCAGGGTCAGGAGAATGAGGAAGCCGTCATGCCCAGCCCAAGCCTTAATCAGCTCCAGAAAATGTCTGACAAAGAGAGATTCTGTGAATGCAGGATGTGTAAGGAGACCTTCCTCCCTAGCTCTGCCCTGGTTGACCACCAGAAAACCCACGGGAGAGAGGACCTTGATGACTCAGATAATGAATGTGGGGAGGCCTCTAAGCCCAGCCTGTCCCAGAAAACGTACAGTAAAGAGAAAGCAAGTGGATGGCAGGTGTGCGCGGACACCTTCCTGCATAACCTCGCCCTGAGAGGGCACCAGAAAGCCCATGCTAGAGGTGACCTATTAAAAAACCAGACTAGAGTGTGTGAGGAGACGTTCATTCTTGTCCAGCCCCTTAAAAGGCATCAGAAAGCTCCCACTAAAGAGAAGCTCTATGACTTGAAAGATGGCGGGGATGCCTCTGTCCAGAGTTCAGGATTCAGCGAGCACCCGAAACTCCACTCTCGAAAGAACCGCTATGAAGGCAGGGGATATGAGAAATCTGTCTTTCCTAGCATGCCCTTCCCTGAGTCCCAGAAAAGCCACATCATAACAAGACCACCTGACCATGAGGAGCAGGAGGAGAGAGCATTTCCCATTAGCGCCAGCCCCAAGGAGCAGCAGAGATTCCCCACTCAGGAGCTTGTCTGTGAAGGGAGGCAGTGTGACAGGTCCGTTATTCACAGATTGGCCTTTACTGACCCCCAGAAAAGCCACAGCGCTGCAGAGCTCAGTCAGCTGAAGGCGATGGCGGAGTCCATCGCAGTCCGGAGCGCGAACGCCATTGCGTACCAGAGAGCCCGTGCTGGAGAGAGCGCCTGGGAAGGGCAGGTGTGTGGGAGATCTGTCATCCAGAGCGTGGCCGCTGCCGAGTCCCTGCCACGTCACACTGGAAGCGAGAAGGGCGAGTCTTCTCTGGGTGTCTCAGACCCTAATGTACAGTCGAAGGTGGACATCAGAGAGAGCTTTTTTGATGAGGCTAAGTATATGAAATACACTGTCATACAGAGTGTGCCCCGTGCTGGAGAGGTGCCCAGTGAGTGGAAGAAGGAGGGTGAACCCTCCGCCCCCCGGTCCCAGGTGCGTGAGTATCAGAAAGCCCGGGAGAAAAAGAAGTACGTTGAGTGCAGGGACTTTGAGACTTCTGTGATGCGGTCCCTCCCCTTTGGCGAGCGCTTGTATGAATGCTGGGAGTGCGGAGAGTCCTTTGTGCACAGTGCCGACCTCAGTGAGCACCAGAAGGTTCATGACCGAGAGAAGCCCTCTGGAAGCAAGGCGTACCAAAGGTCCGTCATCCGCAGCCTTGCCCTGGTGGACCCCCAGACCAGCTCCGCCCAAGAGCGTGCGCACCAGGAGTGTAAGGAGTGTGGGAAGTGCTTTGCCACTAGCGAAGCCCTCAGCCGCCACCAGAGAATCTTCGGCCGGGAGAGGTTCCACGGCAGGATGACCTTTGGAAACTCCGTCATTCAGAGCATTGGTTTTGAAGAGCCTCGGCAGGACAAGTCGAAGGAGAAGTTGGACACCATCTATGAATGCAAGGACTGTGGGCTGGGCTTTGCCAACTTGACCGAGTTTGAAGATCATCGGAGAGTTCATGGTCGGCAGTATCTCTCGGACGCCCGTGTGTGCGGGTCTTCAGTAATCCAGACCTGTTCCTTTAGTGACACCCAGAGAAACACCGATGGTGACCAGCTCTTTGAGTGCCCGCAGTGTGGGGAATCCTTCATTAGTAACACCTTCTTTTTTGAGCATCAAAAGATGCATGAGAGGGAGCCATTGTTTGTGGGCAGGCAGTATAGTGAGGCCCCCGCGCGCCCCCGCCTGCCACTCCCCCGACCCAAGAGGAGGCGCGCCTCCAGGAAGAGTCCTCCCGAGTGGAAAACCATCCGGTGCCAGGTGTGCGGGCAGGACTTCGTCCACAGCTCGGTCCTCCAGGAGCACATGAAAACCCACACTGGAGAGGAGGAGCTGGAACGGGCCAGGAGGGGTGAGGACACGGTCGTCCCAGGCCTGGCGCTCACCGAGTTCCAGAGGAGTCAAACGGAAGAAAAAAACTACGACTGTAAAACCTGTGGGGAGTCCTTTCTCAACCACTCCGACCTGAGGGATCACATGAGGGTCCATGAACGCGACCAGCCCTTCCGGTACGGGACGACCTTTGTCCACACCTCATTTCCTTTTGAGCTTCCCAGCTCAGACTCGCCGTTCTACGAATGCAAGGACTGTGGGAAGTCCTTTATTCACAGCACGATCCTGGTCAAACACCAGCAGCTCCACCTGGAAGCAGCAGCCCAGGCGCTGGAGGCCAATCTGCTCGTCCCACAGGAAGTGCTGCGCATTCAGGGACCCGAGGTGGAGGCTGCCGAGCCGGAAGTGGAGACTGCCGAGCCGGAAGTGGGGGCCGCCGTGCCCAACTTGGAGGCCGCCGAGCCCAACGGGGAGGCCGCTGGTCCAGACGGGGCTGCCGAACAGCTAGATGGGGAGGCCGAACTGTCCGACGGCGATGGAGATGAACCTGATGGTGTGGGAATCGAAGACCCAGAAGAGCGCGCTGAGGAGCTCGAAGGAGACGCCGACGAGCCGGATGGTGCGGGGCTGGAAGACCCCGAAGAGGAGGACGAAGACCAGGAGATCCAGGTTGAAGAGCCGTACTATGACTGCCAAGAATGTGCCATAACCTTCGCTTCAAACTCGGCCTACGGGGAGCACCTGAAAGCCCATGCCCGAGTGATCCTATACGAGCCGGCCAGTGTCTACGGTGAGAGCTCCCGCTACACCGCGCACGCCAGCACCAGCGCCGGTGCCAACGACGGGGCCGACGGGAAGTACTTCAGATGTGACGTTTGTGGGCTGCTCTTCAGCGACCTCCTGTCCCTGGCCAGACACCAGAACTCCCACACCGGCTGAGAACATGGCAGCGTAAAGGGAGGGGAGCCTTGTTAAGACTGGAGCTTTGTAAAACAGCAGAGAATTCTGCTATCTCTGGTAACATCAGTAGACTTGCCTTGGTGTGTGTACACCTTCTTGAACGCCAGAACACCCATACCGAAACGAAACTCAATATAGAGACTCCTTGGACCTCAGCTCTCCCCCATCAAACCTCAGTGTGTGCGTGGGGGAAAGCCGTCCTACCGACCTCTCATCCCAGGAATCACATGAGGAAAGGAACCCTCGGAGTACTCAAGGCTCTAGAGAAGCACCCTCGTGACCAGCTATGTTTCTGGAGATGTAGCTGAGATAGCAAATCATAGCAAACTCGTCATCTCATCGATTTTGGATTTCATAATGGTACTCAGTCCAGTCCTACAGTGCAGAGGGCATCTTGCCTGGTGATCCTCGACTTGGGGTGGGGGAAAGGGATACATATTTGTCACTTTGAAGTATATAATGAAGTATATTTGTGAGGATTTTGCACCCTTGCTAAGATTTACTGTGGATAATTTGAACACGGTTGGTGTCCTTTTTTGAGCAATTGACTCCTATTTTTGCTCTTCTGAAGTATTCTGGGGCAGGGGTAGGCCTGAACGATGAATAGGATCCACTCTTTGCTGTAGGAGAAATACTTGTGGCTGTCGTTGGCAGCCATTTAGTTCACCTGCACTGAGCTCCACAACCCAACCTTGACCGGACAAGGATTGGCTTGTCACCACCTAAATTGATCAGTTGCCACCATGTCTCTTGTGGTGGCTCTCAGATAAAAATCTACAAAGTTGATTTTTTTTTTTTTTAAACCCAACTTAATGTGGCTAGCCCCAGATTCACCAACTCTGAAGCTTTTCCCTGTAAACCTTGCATCTTTTGCCTTTAAGTAGTGGGGTTGTGGCCATCGCTAGAACGCATCCGTACCTAGTGAAAGTTGAGAACCCTGATGTAAATAGGGATGAAGATGCTGTTCCCCTTGCGCTTTCTGCCTTAAGTGAAAACCAACAGTGTGGCTCCGGTCACCGTGCAGCGTGAGTCCACGCTACCACAAGAGTGAGTGCCCTTAGATCTTTCTGTCACTTAACTTAACTCTCCTTCTTCACCTGTCTGACCCTGCGTCTGACTTTCTTAATGGAAAAAAAAAAAAAAAAAAGCTTTCTATTCAACCCAAGCTTAACATGGACTCAGGTTCCCTAGCAGCCTTAACTTGCTTGGTTACCCATCTGCTCTGCCCGCTCAGCCTTCCCTGAGTATTGGAGCGTGCCACTTGTGTGTTGTGTTTGTCTAGTCACCTTGGTTTTCCACTTGGTAGCAGATTTGCCTCGTGGCTTGAGGTTTTTGTGTCCCTGCCTGTGGACCTTCTGTATGTACGCCTTGCTCTCCCCTCTCACATCTTGACTAACTAACTATATTAAGAAATCCTCAGGCCTTAAGTTGGCTGGGGAAAAAAATTAAAAAAAAAAAAAAAAAAAAAAAAAAGTTGAAAAAATTTTAAAAGTTGAAAAAAAGATGAAGTGAGTAGATGATTTGAGCACACTTACCGTCCGCACCTTCCCGAGTGTGCACAGATGGGGCTTGTGGGGTGAGGGGGTCAGAGTTGCAGGCCGTGCCAAAGCCTAGGGAGGCTACAGAGCTGCCAGTTGGCAGCAGAAACGAATAAGCCAAAGACCAGGGCCCCAGTCAGTCACCAAGCCTAGGTGTGAGGGAAGCGGAAAACAGCAGAAACAGGGAGGGTGCTCTGGAGATTGGACGGTGGGAAGAACAGACCTCTCTGACAGCACATGAAGACTCCACCTGGCAGTAGAAATTGAGGCTTAGAGAGGTGCTCTCTTCCAGAGAAGGACCCTTCCAGAGGGGGTCAGTGTCCATGCCATCTTGGTGACTGGGTGGGCTCGTTACTGTGGGCAGTCAGACTCTTTGGTAACGTAGTTGCCAAAATTTAAGGGGTCTGTTTGCAGCCTTACATGAGTGAGAAATTAGGAATGATTTTTAAATGCCAAATGATAGTAAGTGATTTTGAGTACGTGCACACCATAGATTCTTAAACGCAGCTGCTAAAAATGATCATCAAGAAGTTGGTAGCATGTGGAAATGTATTTCCAGACTGTGAAGTGGAAGAAACAGGACATGAAATTATATTTATGCTATAATTATAACTGTTGAAAGATGTATGTGTGTAGTCAAAAGCGCTTGTGTTGTTGTAGGCTAATAGTTGAGCATTATTTTCTTAAATTCCTTTACCATTCTTTGTTGTAGCGTTCCTAGAATGTTATAAATCAGGCACATTTTTATTGTGAGCATAATTTGAACTCCATTATCAAACACTTGGAAAAAACAGACAAATGGAGGAGAAGAAAAATCAGCCATGTTCTCACCAATCCAAAGACAGAGCTACCCTTCCGTATGTGGCTTTTTCTTGTTTCTGTGCACAGGCTTATGATTATAACTGTGTCCAAATGTGTATGCAAAATTGTCATGTTACCCTTGTGAAATTATGGCTAAATACTTTTTCATTTGTTCGAATGTTTCTCATCACAGTGTTCTGATAGCAAAGTTTATTATGTATGTTTCTGTTGTAAGCTTAATATGTACCCAGAGGAAGAAGAACTAGAGAATACAGCAAATTAGAAAATAAGATAAATCTGCCGATAGTCCTTAGACCCGACAACTAGTACTGTTAACATCTTGATATACTTCCTCCATCTTATTTCAGTACACAAGCTTATGGTTTATAACAGCTTTAAAAAGTACATCTGCTAAAAGTCTAAAATGAAAAGAAATGTGGAAAATAATTTAAATTCGTTTGGTCTTTGTGGGATGATAGTTGAATATTTTGTCTCAAAATTCCTCGTATGGTCTTGTTGTCTTGGTAATAAACTTTATGTATTTTTTCCTTTACAAATATAATACATACTCATAGGAAACTGTGGAAAATTCAATAAAATAGAAGAAGAGAAAAAAATTCGCCCATATTCCCAACAGCCAACAGCAACCACTGTTAGCATCTTGGTTGGCTCCCTGCAGCTTGATCTGTGCCCTGCTGTGGTTTTACGGAGTGTGTCCAGGTGCGCAGTGCAGAGCCACAGATGGAAGATACATGGAAAGAAGTTTGAAAGATAGTTGTGTGGTCGTTGTGGAATTGCGGTTAAATATGTTGGAATTACGGTTGTCTCGATTTTCTTTGAATGGTCTTTTTTTTTGTAGTGTTTTGGTAATCCACCCTTGTTATGTACATTTCCATGATAAAAGCACAGTATGCATTCATTATAGGAACTCTGAAGTTACAGAAATGTAGACAAGAAATTCACCCATATTCTCACCATCCTAAGACTGTGGTTAGTTAACATGGTGATGTAATTTCTTCATCTCGTTTCTGTGCACAGGTTTTTAGTTTGTTAGTATGGCTGTGGTCTCCTATCTATCTGTAATAGTGTCAACAATAAAAATAAAGTTAAGAATAAGCTATTTCTCGGTCTCTTTTTATCATTTTGAGTGTTTGGGGCGGTTTAAATGGGTTTTTTGTTGCTAATGTTGTGGCTGTTAACTGCTTTCCAGTCAGTTCCAACTCACAGCCATCCTGTGTAGGGTTCCCAAGGAGCCGCTGGAGAGTTTTGAACTACCATCCTTGTTAGCAGTTCAATGCTTATCTTACAGTGCCATACCAGAACTCCAAAAACTTAGTGCCACCTCAGGCTTTTATGTGTGGTTGCAAACTTTATTTTGAAATGTTGCATATTTCAGCAATTACTTTCAAGGGATCTTCTAATGCTACTTGATTGAGCACTTATAAAGTTAAAACCGTATATTGTAGTACTTTCTTTAAACCTGATAATAATCAAGTTAGCATTTTTCATTGGAACTGGGTTTCTCACAAACAGGAAGAAAAGGTCGCCTAAAAATGTGTGGTTTAGAGTTCCTTTAAAATGCTCTTCTTGATAATTCTCTGAGTTCATTCGCATTTTTAGTCTGGCCTCACCACCAAAAAATATCCCATGTAACTTGGCAGGTTATTACCCCAGATACCTGAGGGGAATTTTTAAACATGCTCATGAGTAAGGACAGGTGATTGGAGGTCAAGCTGCTCTCTAGAGCTTGTGAGCAACTGAGATTGGTTACCCTTGGGGTGGGTGGCCCACCGTATGGTTGCCCTGCCCTGGTTCCCTGGCTCCCTGGCTCCGAGAAGTCGGTCACAGACTGCACACCACTTGCACACATCCCTGCACATCCCCTTGGATTTCGAGTACTTCCATTTAGTTCTCACTACCTTGGAATTTGACAAGAGACCTGAATTCTTGAATACTTTCAGAAGTTAACTTTTGTTTCTAGGAAAGTGAAACTCTCTGTGTTGTGTGGGTAAGCCCTTGTGGCCACAGCGTCAATGGTCAGTATATGTAAGGGGCAGAGTTGAGCACTCCTGAATCAAACCCTAGGAATGAGCCTAGGCCAGCAGGGAGCGGGGTTAAGAATGACCTCTGGAACAGTCTGTTGCAACATGCCCTGGCAGGTGGGAGTGAGACGAGTGCCTTTAGGGGTCGTCCCATCAGCCCTTGTGCCCTCCCTTCAGTCAGAGAAGCCTGTTGATTCCCTGAGATCTGACCTCACGACTTCCAAGTGACCACTCACACTCACCAGAGACTAAAGGCGAACTAGGGGTCCTGTGGGTTGGAGCGTGGTGTATTGATGGACAGACAGACCAGGAAGGAGAGGAGGCCACAGAGTCGGAGGGAAGCATGGTTCCTGGTAGAGGAGGCTTGCCATTAATGGCTGCTCCTGCAGGCCACTGACCTGGCTCGCTCAATTCATAGCCTTACCCATTTCCTAAAGTGAGTAGTGTGGGTGTTACACGGGGAAACGGGATGTTGGCAATTGGAAAGGTGTCATCTACGGGTCTTGAAGTGATTACAAGAAGTCTGAATTTCCAGAGATCCTATTTTGTTTACAGGTTCTGGGAGTTAGGACTTGTTTTTTTATTTTTGTTTTTTTTG